TTCGTCAGGCTCCTCGTGAGTGGCACGACACCCTGCGTTCTACCCTGTCTGACCTTGGGTTCCAGCCGTCTTCTGCTGACCCGTCGCTGTTCGTTCGTCGTGGCCCCACACCTTTCTTTGTTCTGGTCTACGTTGACGACCTTGTTTTCGCCACCCCTGACAGGGTTGCTTTGGCACACATGAAGTCCGAACTGCAGAAGAGACACACCTGCACTGATCTTGGTGAGCTGCGCCACTACCTTGGCCTGCAGATCACCAGGGACAGAGCTGCTCGCACCATTACACTTTCACAGTCGCACATGGTGCAGCAGGTCCTTCAGCGGTTCGGGCTTCAGCACTCCACAGTACAGCGCACACCTCTTGCTGTTGACCACAGACTCACTGGACCCTTTCCTGACGAGCCGTTCGAGCCTAGTGGTCCCTACGCTGAGCTTGTGGGTTGCCTCATGTACCTGATGACTTGTACTCGCCCGGACCTCGCCTTCCCTCTCAGCGTTCTTGCGCGCTTTGTTGCGCCAGGGAGACACCGTCCTGTTCACTGGACAGCAGCTGTGAGGGTGGCGAAGTACCTAGCGACGACGTCAGGCGTGGGGCTAGTTCTTGGAGGGCAGCAGTCTGTCGTACTTACTGGTCACTGTGACTCCTCTTACGCTGACGACGCTGAGACTCACAGGTCTACTCAGGGGTACTGTTTCAGCCTGGGTTCTGGAGCTGTTTCCTGGCGGTCCACGCGCTCCTCTTCGGTCTCGACCTCTACAGCTGAGGCTGAGATCTACGCTGGTGCCATGGCGGCACAGGAGCTGCGTTGGTTGACCTTCTTGCTCACCGACCTTGGTGAGCGGCCGAGCTCTGCACCGACCTTGTTCACTGACAACAAGGCGTCTATTCTCCTTTGTCGAGAGCCACGACTGGAGAGCAGAGTGAAGCACATTCACATCAGGTACTTTCTTCTGCGAGAGTTGCAGAGGCGTGGACAGGCTCGCTTTGAGTTTGTGGAGTCCGAGGCCAACACTGCAGACATCTTCACCAAGGCGCTTCCGCCTTGTGACCACCAGAGGTGCTGTGTGCAGTTAGGCCTTGTTGACACTGGTTCTCGTGTTGCTTAGACTTGAGTGTACTGTTTACTTTGCTTTCTATATATCTCTGTTACTTCTTGGACTGGCCTTGTGGCCACTGTTGTTTGTGCTCAGACTGTGTGGTGACGTTGTGATCCACCCTGAGCTTTGTTTCTTGGACTGGTCTTGTGACCGTACTCGTTTGGTTCTGCTAGACACCCCTCACTTAGGCTATGGGGGTGTGTCAAATGTTGTAGCCTATAGTGAGGTTTGTCTTAGGGGGTACAAAACTTAGGGTTAGCTATATGTACCCCAACCAACATCAATGCACCATCCATTCTTCATTCTGACAACACACTCTTCCCTCCCTCTCGCGTTCATCTCTTCCCCCCCGCTCTCCGCTCGTTCTCCTTTCTTTGTTTTCCTCCATCACTTTCAAATTCTTTATGCTCCCTCCTGCTTCACATTACACGCCCCCTTTGCTTTTCCTCCCCTTTCTCCTTCCCACCTGTTACACACCCACTTCAATCCCCTTCCCTCTCGTCCCATACAGGTGCTCTCCGCTCTCTGCTTCTGTGCTCGCCTTGTCCAGCAAGGGTGGTACAAATGAGGCAGCCCTCTCAATTTGACATCACTTCGCAATAACTGTCAGTGTGAAATCAATTCTGTACATGAAAAAGTAGCCTGTTTACTTCATGTGAACAAGAGAGTTGCAAGAATTTGAGGAATGAGAGGGCAAGGAAGCGCAGCAATCTTTGGTTTTCCTGTTCGCTACTGATGTTAGGGCTGCAATGAAGGGAGGTGTTTCGTGCAGAAGACACGGCCTGCCCCTCCTGTTAGCCCTCACTGCCAAGATCCTCCCAAATTCAGCATGTATTTGCACGGATCACAAGTACATGACAAGTTTATTTTCCTCTGTGCTACTACCGCCCCACAAACAAACACACACACACACACACACACACACACACACACACACACACACACACACACACACACACACACTCGCTACCCTCTATACCCCACCTACTCCACAACAAACCACGTAGCAACAACTCAGCACACCACAGCCCTGTGTGATTAAAAGCATCTACCGACCCTCGGTCAGCTAAAGCTTAGAGCACACACACACTACCAAGGACTTAGACACACACTAGCAAGCCCGTCCTCAAGAGGGTGTGAAGATCTACTCATCGTGGTGGTGGTCATCATGGTGGTCGTGATGGTCGTCGTGATGATGATCGTCATGGTGGTCATGATGGTCATCATGGTGATCATCATCATGGTGGTGGTCGTCATGATGATCATCATGGTGGTCGTCATGGTGATCATCATCGTCATCATGGTCGTCGTGATGGTCATCATCATGGTCGTCCTCCTCCTTCTTGGGCTTCGTGCACGCCTTCACGCACGCCGCGTAATTCGCCTCGCACCCCATCTTATGCCCCTTGTAGCACTGCCGGCGGTGGTACAGGCACCAGTCCTTGCACCCCCACTTGCCGTACTTGCAACTCTTGAACGACCGGTATGCCTTGCGCCCGCACGTCTTGCCCTGCGCCTCGCACATTGCCATGCCCTCGGAGGAACCAGTCGCTTTCTCCATGCACTCGTGCTTTTTCTCGGTGCACGACTTGCTCTTGAGCTGGAATTTCTGCATGCACGTGAGAGGCTTCGGTTTAGGCTTGGGCTTTTCCTTCTTCTCGTGGTGATCGTCGTCGTCGTGATGGTCGTCATGATGGTCGTCATCATGATGATCGTCGTGATGATGGTCGTCGTGGTGGTCATCATGATGGTCATCGTGATGGTCATCATGGTGGTGGTGATCGTCATGATGGTCATGATGGTCGTGGTGGTCGTCGTCCAGAAATCTCCTGGCTCCGAGAGTCAATTTACCTGCAGACAGTCATGCATTGAGCAATTCGTCAGTCAATCTTAAAGATTGTGGACAATTAAAAGCAAAATGTACACATTCTGACCAGAGAAGAATAAGCATTTCATTAAACAGCAGAGATTCGCAGTGGGAAACGGAACTTACCAGCGCTGACGACGGCACTGGAGTCAGCATAAGCAGAGGGCATGAACAGGGCGACGAGAAGAACCGAGCTGGCGACGAGAAGAGCGCCGAGAAGCCTCATCGGAGCCATGATGGAGGAACGCGGGAGCAGAGTTTCAAGAAAGAGCCACCACCAACAACGACTCGAGTGTGGGATAGAATGACGAAGACGTGAATTCGCTGAAATTTATTCTGGAAATCTGCCCTGCTCTTCCTGGTGTGTCGCTCTGCTGTGAGGTGGGTTTCGGGTCGCTTGATAGAAGTGCATCGCGGTGTGGGAGGAGGTTTGCGCGGCTGAGGCGGGCAGCCGAAAATCACAGCTCCCTAAAATTTGCGTACACCCATCCCGTGCCCGGTTTTCAAGGCATCCCATCCCATGTGCTCAAGGGTGCTGCCCGGCTTTTAGTGAGCTGCACTGATTCGCCTGGGCAGATGCTTGCCGTACCTTGATTCGTTGGCGATCTGGACCAAGGGGTAGTCCAGAAATTTTGGCTTCTTAGCCGAATTCTTGAAGACGTTTCGGGAGGACGGCGGTCGCCATAGCGACTCGGTTTGTTGACGCCATCCCATTGGTGGTGATAGGGGCTCTACACAAAATGGTCGCCACGGCAGCGGGCAGCTTTCACCAGCTCGTAATTTCTCATCGACGGCCAGAAACACTCTCCATACTCATCGCTGCTTGATGAGATTACACGTAGGGTGCTTACTGATAAGGTGTCGACGTGTCATCACATGACGAGAGAATATGCGCCTTAGTGAAAATCCTTGATTTAGAATGAACCCTAAATGTATTAACATAAAAGAAGTCTGTCTGATCTTTAATCATATAAAGCCAATCACATGGACACGAGGTATTCAAATCCCACAGATAAATCAGATAAAATAAGAAGCACGTATTAATACATTCAATTTTCCTGATTTTTTCCACAGAAAAAAGCTGTGATACAACAGATAAAATAAGAAGCTTCCATTTTCCTTGAATACCCAGCAGCTAGAAACCAAAAGTGAAAACAAATGTTTAATAAAGCTGGTCGTTCACGATTTTCCGTTGACTGTTATAATTATCGGGGTATCTGTTAGGGACCATCCTCATGTTTCTCCAAACCCGAGCGGCACATACTGTATTCCCCTGTTGCGAGCCGCGTCCTACTGAGTTCACCCCCCGCACTTTTCGCCAAACAAGCGTGCGACTGTCGTGAGTGGTGGTGACAGCGTCACGTAATGCTCCATGAGACCCACCAAGCCATACCCGCACGTCTGTCACCATACCGCCGAGAACCATGCCGACGAATTCGGCTTGGTCCTTCAAGCTCGACATCCCCGGACCAGATCTGTCAGAGCCAAACCGCCAGCCGCACCAGTCACCTACCGTACCACATCTCAACCAAACCGAACGGCAGATATTCTGCCGAGCCGAAGGACGTGCCCAGCCGGAGCAAACCAAACAAGGCAGTCCAGCCAGACCAGTGTCAAACCGCACCTTGGTGTCCGAACCAGACTCAAATCTGGAATGAACCACTGCCCGCCCAGGACTATGTGCTGTCAATTACGATTCACGGCTCACAACAAACAAGCCTTCTCGTTCAGTCTCTGCTTGTTATGGCGATTCTAGAACATCAAGGTCGGCAGCACGACGCCTATCTCCTAGTTTTCTTTCCGTTCCGGCCTTGCTGCTGACACGACTTTCTGTGAGCAGCATCAATGGAAAACAAACAATAGGAACGGATCGCCTCGCAGTTGCCTAAGATCGCCTGCCGGCTGACCGGCATCCCGTCTTACGAGCTGTACGTTAGCATTATTTATTATGACAGCCGGCTTAACGGGACTATATTTATTTATCCAAGCGACGTCCTCGTCCTCTAATAAAGTGCCGCGTCTTTCGATATAATCGCATGGGTCCGGTCGTAGTGGTGAAGGACCCGGCAAAGATCCGGCAAGAGCGACACGCTCGCCCACAGTCACAATCCCTCCCGTGCACTCACCTCCGCTCACCCCCAGGCGCTCATTCGCACAGCTTGTCGCAAAGTCCGCCGCAAAGCCGATCGCACGCGTCGTCGCATGCGCTTTCGCAAGTTCACCTGAATTCGCACAGCAAGACGAGACATCAGCACCGAGGGTGGTTTTCGAGTCTGTGTGGTAACAATCTCAATGTAGTCACATGGTCTGCGATTTTCTTCGCAGCCATTCTTTTTCATCTGCTCGGGCATACGAAACTCCATGAACCGGGTAACCACATTGCGAAGCTGTCAGATCTGACTGTAGACGGCAAAAGTCAACAAGGACTTATATCGATTCAAAATGGACTGACTGTAGCGGAATCTGGGCCGGAAAGCGCGCAAAACGAGGGCCACATTAGTTACGGCGGGGATCGCCTGACACATCCAACGGCTGAGATTAAAAAGAGATGGCTAGCTGCGAATCCCGAGGACGAAGGGCCCGGAAAATCCGGGAGAGGAAGGACCGACGCCAGGCACGGGGAGGGAGAACCTGGAGGGGATAGCACCGCTCCGATTCGTGGCGGGATTGATAAGGCGGAGGGGACGCACGAGACTGGCGGGAAAGAGGAGCGTGGGGGGAAGCAGGAGGACGCGGGGAAACAGGAGGAGGAGGGGAAAGAGGAGGATGAGGAGGGGAGTGGTAGCAGTTCTCTGGTAGAGCGCGTGAATGCGATTGACGGCAGCGGGGAAGAGCAAGTGGAGGAGCGTGAGGGAGGAAATGTGAGTGAGGACAAAAGGGAGCACGGGGACTGGGAGAGGGATGGGGGGGAGGAGGGTGGGCGGGAGGGGGATGGGCGGGAGGAGGATGGGCGGGAGGAGGGTGGGCGGGAGGAGGGTGGGCGGGAGGAGCAGCTCGCAATGGTTGGCGCTATGCTGGAGGGTGGGTGGCCGGGGCAGGAGGTGGCGTGGGGGAATGCGGGAGGGCTGTGGCCTAGGCAGGGGGAAAAGGGGAGTGCTGTGCGGGAGGGGGGTGTTGAGGGGGATCGGGTGGTTGAGGGGAAGGCGGAAGGTGAGGGGGAGGCGGAAGTTGAGGGGGAGGCGGGAGTTGAGGGGGAAGGGGGAAGAGACCGGGGTAGGTCAGATATTGGTGCTCACAGGATGGCGGAAGGGGAGGGGGAGGTTGCGGATGGGGGGGTGTCAGTTGGGGGGAAGGGGGAGGGGAAGAGCGCAGGAGCGGAGGAGGAGGGGGTGGATGAGGGGGCTGCGGGGAGTGAGGAGGGGAAAGGGGAAGGGGGAGGGGAAGGGGATGAGGAAAGGGAAGGGGAGGGGGATGAGGAAAGAGAAGGGGAAGGGGAGGTAGGGGCCGAAAGTGATGGTGTTGCGGCGAATAAAGGGGAGGAAGAAGGAGAAGAGGGAAACAAGGGAGATGTGAGAGGTAGGAGAGGAGGGGAAGGCATTGGTAGTGTGAAGGCTGTGGGAGATGCGGAGGGCGGGGAGAGCGATGAGCAAGCGCGGAGGGATGGGGAGGAGGAGGGGGGAAATGGGGAGGAAGGAGAGAGTAGGGAGGAGGAGGAAGAGAGTGGGGAGGAGCAGGAAATAAAGGGTGGGGAAGAGGAGGGAGAGGGTGGGAACGGGGAGGGAGAGGGTGGGGAAGAGGAGGAAGAGGGTGGGGAGGGGGAAAGAGAGGATGGGAGGGCGGGTACGAGGGAGGGGATGACAAGGAGAGAGGAGGGGAAGGGGACGGGGAGGGCGAGGAGGGTGAGGGGGAAGAAGGGAGGGAGGATTATGGGAAAGAGCTGTTGGAAGGGGTTTTAGGGGAAGATGAAAGGGATCGAGAGGGGAAAGTGAAAGGGGAAGGGGGGGTTGATGATTATGATATTGGGGAAGAGGGAGAAGAGGAGGAGGGAGAGGAGGAAGAGGAGGAAGAGGGGGAGGAGGAGGAGGGAAGCGAGGGGGATGGTGGGAGGGACCTTGATGGAGAGATGGACGAGGGGGGAGCGGGGGCGAGAAAAAGCAGCAATGCGGGTGCGCGGAATCCCAAGGAAGGAGAGGGGGAAGCAGAGGGGGAGGCAGAGGGGGAAGCGGAGGAAGAAGCGAAGATGGGGCTACAGGAAACAGGGGCGGAGGCGGGGGAAGCAGAGGAGGAGTTGGGAGATGATTTGGAAGAAGCGGGGTTTGGGGCAGGGCGCAGTCGCAGCCGCAGTGGCAGCCGCAGTATGGGTGATTTGGGCAGGCTTGTTGACTTCAAGGGAGTGGGTGCAGGCAAGGAGGAGAGGGTCGAGGAGTCAGGGGAAACAGAGGAGGAGGAACTAGATGACGATATGGAGGAAGTGGGGTTTGGGGTGGGGCGTGGTGGCAGTCGCAGCATGGGTGATTTCGGCAAGCTTGTTGGGCTGCAGGGAGTGGGTGCAGATGAGGAGGAGAGGGAGGAGGAGGAGAGGATTCACAAGGCAGGAATCGGCAAGTCCAAGGCAAAGGCGGCAAGTGGAAAGGCAAAGAAGAAAAAGAAGGGGGGACGCGGCAAGGACAAGAAGAAAGAGCGGCTGAAGGCTCTGTGGAGGAAGAAACATGCAGCAGCAGCAGCAGGAGGAGGAGGAGAAGGAGAAAGAGAGAGGAGGAGGGGGGCCTCTGAGCCGCCCTTTGAACCGCCAGAGCCGCGGTGGAGGCCGGACAAGGCGTGTGCCAACGTGGCTGAGATGGGCGAGGCGACAGCTGGCAGCACCGACCAGGCGAGCCTGAAGCTGCGGCGAATGATCGAGCGACACCTGGCGGTGCACGGTGGGTGGGTGGTGTTTTTTAATCAAGCAAGGCTTTTCGTGGTTGGAGTACGGGTGTGTCAACACCCCATTCCAGTGCCGCTGAAACGCGTCCTTCCCTTCCCCACTCCCACCTGGTCCTCTTAGCCACCACGTGCCTCTTGTGTGTGTGGTCTGTCTGGTCCGACCTCTAGGGAGTTCATCTTACCCTCCCTCGCCAATTCCCCACTCCCACTGTTTCCATTCTGTGTCCCTTCTGCGTCCTCTCCATTCGGTATCTCTGCAGTGCGTGTGCTGCCCTCTCACAAGTTCCGTCGGAGAGGCTTCGTGTAGGGATATGGCAAGCACGAGGGTTTAGGGAACAACCTCTACAAGGTCCTCATGGCCCCACTCATTTCACTCGCTCGCTCACATTCACTCTCTCTCTTCCCTCCTCTCTCTCTTCCCTCCCACTCTCTTCCCTGCTCTCTCCCCCCTTCTCTCTCCTCCCTCTGCCATCTCCCCTCTTCCCCTGCAGGTGCCTCTGTTCTGCGTGCACTGCCCTCTCACGAGTTCTGTCAGAGGGGCTTCGTGCTGGGATATGGCAAGCACCCCAACTACTACTCCTTACCCTCCGCTCGCTACTCTCATCCCATCTCCCCTCTTCCCCTCCAGGTGCCTCTGCCCTGCGTGCACTGCCCGCTCACCAGTTCTGTCAACGGGGCTTCGTGCTGGGATATGGCAAGCACGAGGGGCTGGGCAACAACCTGTACAAAATTCTCACAGCGCCGGCTCTTGCTCTCATGCTCAACCGATCCATCATTGTGGGCGAGAACTAGTGAGTGAAGTGGGTTAGATGCGGTGGTGTGTGGCGGGCTGCGGTGAGGTGCGGGGTCTGGTGGGGTGCGCAGTGGTGAAGATCCTCACAGCGCCGGCTCTTGCTCTCATGCTCAACCGATCCATTATTGTCGGCGAGAACTAGTGAGTGAAATGGGTGAGATGAGGGTGAGATATGGTGGGAGGGGGTGGGGTCTGGTGGGGTGGGGTGGGCTGTGGGCAAGCACGAGGGGCTAGGCAACAACCTGTATAAGATCCTCACAGCCCCGGCTCTTGCTCTCATGCTCAACCGCCTCATTATTGTGGGGGAAAACTAGTGCATCATGGGGGTTGAAATGCGGTGGGGTTTGGTGAGGTGGGCTGTGGGGAGGTGCTGTGGGGTCTGGTGGAGTAGGCAGTGGTGAAGTGTGGTGGGCTGGGGAACAGCCTCTCTGATGCCCTCAGGGCCCCAGCTCTCTCATGCCCAACGTCTCCGTCATCATGGTATGGACGTTGGGAGAAGGCCAGGTAGTCCTTCCACCTGGTGTTGAGAGACGTTGGGCATGAGAGAGCTGGGCCATGGTATGGTGGATTTTGAGAATTCTCAAAAACCAGCTCGTTGGGCATGAGAGAGCTGGGCCCAACGTTGGGCCCACCTGGGTATGGTGGAAGGACTACCTGGCCTTCTCCCCTCAAGCATTCTCCATGCTCGAGTTGAGGCACCTCTGGCACCACCACTCACCATCGCCCACCACCACTCTCCCTTCCTCCCCACCCCAGTGGCACGTGCACTGTGATGCTAACTACAAGACGGTGGGGGAGCGGCTCTGAAAGGACTACCTCGCCTTCTCCCCAGAAGTATTCTCCATGCTCGAGTTGAGGCACCAGCACACGAGTGCTGGTCCTGCTGTTGCTGTTGCTCACCACGCACCACCACTCACCACCCATCTCTGCCTCTCCCTTCTCGTCCCAACCTCCCTCCCCTCATTCCTCCCCCCCAGTGGCACGCGTCCTGTCATGGAGAGCAACAGGACAGTTGGGCAGCGCCTATGGAAGGACTATCTTGCCTTCTCCCCGGAAGTATTCTCCATGCTCGAGTTGAGGCACCTCTGGTATCAGCACAAGTGTGAGCAGCGCTACAAGAGGCCTCTGGTGGTCAGAACGGATTCGTTTGCCAACCGGGCGAGGTCTCGCACGCTGTGTGATGATTGGTCGACCTGGAAGGAACCCATTATCTGGTGAGTGCATGTGTGAGAACACAACACTTGAACATAGGCACCTCTGGCACCAACACGAGTGCGAGCGGCGCTACAGGCGGCCTCTGTTGGTCAGGACGGATTCGTTTACCAACCGGGCGAGATCACGCATGCGTGTGATGATTGGTCCACGTGGCAGGAGCCCATCATCTGGTTAGTGCATGTGTGTGTGCGTACATGAGCGTGAGATCACGTCTTTTAAGAGTTAAGGGTCAACGTGTTTCCCTTGGACAATTCTCCATACTGGGGCTAAGACACCTCTGGCACATCCACGTGTGCGAGCAACGTTGCAAGCGGCCTCTGCTGCTCCAAACTGACTGGTTTGCCGACCGAGCGAGGCCGTGCACAAACTGTGTGTTGCATGCATGCATGCATGCGTGCGTCCATGCGAGAGAACAGCCCCTGAGGTGATGAAGGCCACTGTGCCGAAACGCGTGCGCTCCGTTGGGAATTATATTTTCTTTCCTACTCGATCGCTACCTAGCCTAGGCACCTACAGAATAGCGAAGATTAGGACAAGATTGGTCTGTTAGGTCTAGGTCGAATCTATACTTATCTGCACACTGTGTGTTGCATGCATGCGTGCGTGCATGCGAGAGAACAGCCCCTGAGTCTAGGAGTCTTCATTGATTGGCTGAGAACCGTCCGTCTTAGCAGTCAGAGCCGATTCCTTGGAGATCGCCTGTTTCACCCCTCTCACGCTTCCTTCCCCTGCATACACCCCTCCCCCACCCCAGCTGCTGCTGCTGCTGCTGCCCACGCCTTATCCCTTCCCATGTCCCCCCTTTCTCTCACCCTTTCCCCCACCCCACCTCCCCCAGTTTCGATGACGCATTGGATTCAGTAAGCATACAGACGTTCCTGAAGAACCTGCATCCGTCCATGCGGGAGAGAGCACAGGCCATCATGGGCATTCCCTGGGACCCCGCTCAACCCCTTTGGCTAGATTGCCTGTTTTCACCCCTGCCAACCTTCCTTTCCCTGCATACACCACCCCTCCCCCTCTCCAGCTTCAATGATGCATTGGACTCGGGGGGAATACAGACATTTCTCAAGAACCTGCATCCGGACATGCGGGAGAGAGCACAGGCCATCATGGGTGTGCCCTGGGACCCCAACTCGCGCTGCAATCCCACCCCCCTCTCCCTGCCCATCTATTCCCCCGTCCCCTCCCCCACTCCAGCTTCGATGATGCATTGGACTCAGTGGGAATACAGACGTTCCTGAAGAACCTCCATCCATCAATGCGGGAGAGAGCACAGGCCATAATGGGCGTGCCCTGGGACCCCAATTCGCTCCCCAACCTCTTTGGCGAGATCGTGCCCACCCTTCCTTCCCCTTCTTTCTCCCCTCCCACCTCCCCCAGCTTCGATGACGCATTGGTTTCAGTGGGAATTCAAGCATTTCTCAAGAACCTCCATCCGGACATGCGGGGGAGAGCACACGCCATCATGGGCGTGCCCTGGGACCCCAACTCGTGCTGCAATCCCGTTCCCCCTTTGGTTCTTTCCTCCCTCCCTCGTTCCCTTTCCAGTTTTGATGATGCATTAGACTCAGTGGGAATACAGACTTTTCTGAAGAACCTCCACCCATCCATGCGGGAGAGAGCACACGCCATCATGGGCGTGCCCTGGGACCCCAACTGCCTCTGCACTCCCATTCTCCCCTCCCTGCCCATCCGGCCTCCCTCCCTCCCTTCCCCCGTCTCCAGTCTAGATGATGCATTGGACTGTGGGAATACAGACCTTTCTGAAGAACCTGCATCCATCCATGCGGGAGAGAGCGCACGCCATCATGGGTGTGCCCTGGGACCCCACCTCGCGCTGCAATCCCACCCCCCTCTCCCTGCCCATCTGTTCCCCCGCCCCCTCCCCCACTCCAGTTTTGATGATGCATTGGATTCAGTGGGTATTCAGACATTCCTGAAGAACCTCCATCCATCCATGCGGGGGAGAGCGCAGGCCATCATGGGTGTGCCATGGGACCCCAACTCGCGCCCCAACCTCTTTGGGGAGATTGCGCGTGTGCTACTGCTTCACACGCCAGCGGTGGCGGATGCAGTGAGATGGGCGCTGGGCAGCGGAGGGAAGGACGCTGATGTGGTGATTCACTTTCGGCACGGCGGGTGAGTGGAATGGTGTGAGTGGAGTGGTAGGGGTTGGAGTGGAAAGAGGAGAGGCTTGCCTCTCTGCCGCTGCTGCCCACACCAACGGTGGTGGATGCAGTGAGATGGGCGCTGGGGAGCGGAGGGAGGGATGCCGACGTGGTCATTCACTTTCAGCACGGCGGGTGAGTAGTGGGGTGGGGTGGGAAGAGGAGAGGAGGCTTGCTGCAAGTGCTACTGCTGCCCACGCCTGCAGTGGCGGATGCTGTGAGATGGGCGCTTGGTTCAGGAGGGAAGGACGCCGATGTGGTGATTCACTTCCGGCACGGCGGGTGAGTGGCTTGGTTTAGCCTGTTATGTTGGTTCAAGGTTGGCTTGGGTTGGTGTGGGTTCAGATGGGCGCTGGGGGGTGGAGAGGGACGCCGACGTGATCATTCACTTTCGGCACGGCGGGTGAGTGGAGGGTGTTGGTGGAATGGAAAGAGATGGAAAGAGGAGGGGCTTGCCTGTCGGGTGCTGTTGCTGCCGGCGGCAGCAGTGGAGGAGGCTGTGAGATGGGCGCTTGGGAGTGAAGGGAGGGATGCCGACCTGGTGATTCACTTCCGCGGCAGGAGAGTGCATTGGGCTGTGTTTTTATTATCATGGTGCATGGGTTGGCATGGTTGGGGTGGGTGGAATGAAAATTGAAGGGTGGAATGGGAAGAGGAGAGGAGGTTTTTTCACGAGTCGTCAGTCGTCCTCCCTCCGCTTCCCCTCCTTCCTGCTGCAGAGCAAACTGGAGTCATTGGCGTCTGCGGTTGCTCTGTGCCTGAGAAAGGCCCTGGAGCACATACACAGGGTGAAGCAGCAGGGCTTTCTGAGGCACCTCAGAAGTCATCTTGTCTCTTGTCCCCCCCTCCTCGTCCCTTCCTCTTGCTGCAGGCTAGAATCCGTGGCTTCTGCGGCTGCTCTGTGCCTGAGAAAGGCTCTGGAGCACATCCAAGCGTGTGAAGCAGCAGGACGCGCAGCAGAAGGGGCAAGCAGACGCACTTCAAAGAATACAGGCGGTTGCAGCAACAGCACCACTGACAGCAGCAGAGGCAAGAGAAGCAGCGCTGCCAGCACTGCCAGCAGCAACAGCAGCAGATAGAGCATCCATAGCTACAGCAACGGGCGGAGCAGTATTAGCAGGGCCAGCAGGGAGCAGAGGAGTTGAAGCAGGAACAGCGGCAGATTTTAGACCAACAGGTGCTGGTGCAGGCAGTATGGGGAGTAGGTTGCTGGCGTGGGGGAAGGGGAGGATTCGGTGGGGCAGCGGTAGAAGATTGTTGGAGACGGAGGGTAGAGGAGGGGAGGAGGAGAGTGGAGAAGGGGAGGAGGGTGGAGGAGGAGAGGAGGTGGAGGGTAGAGGAGGGAAGGGGAAGGGCAAGACAACCAAGGGAAAAAACGAAAGGAAAGAGAAAGAAGGGAAAGAAGAAGGCGGGAAAGACAACGCAGAAAAAGGCAAAGAGTGGAAAGACGAAGGCGCGATGGACGGGGAAGTTGAAAGCGGGGAAGGCAAAGAAGGGGAAGAAGAAAGGCGGGAAAGGAGGGGAGGATGGAGAAGAGAATAAGAAGGGAGGGGCCGAGAGCAAGGAAGCAGGGAGCAGTAAAGCAGTGAGTGATAAGGACAAGCTGAGGGTGGTGGTGGTGGCGGATCACCCAAGCGTGTTCCGCAAGATAGGCGCTCTCACGTCCGACTTTGCAAAGGTGGGTCCTGTAGGGAAGGGGGGCACTAAAGCAGGGGGTATTAGAGCAGTGGGCAGTAAAGCAATGAGCAAGGCAGTGGACAAGCTGAGGGTGGTGGTGGTGGTGGTGGTGGTGGCGGATCATACAAGTGTGTTCCGCAAGATAGGAGCTCTCACGTCCGACTTTGCCAAGGTGGGTCCTGGAGGGAAGGGGGGCACTAAAGCAGGGGGTATTAGAGCAGTGAGCAATAAGGCAGTGAGTGAGAAGGAAAAGTTGCGGGTGGTGGTGGTGGCTGATCATCCCAGCGTGTTCCGCAAGATAGGAGCACTGACATCCGACTTTGCCAAGGTGGGTGAACTGTTCACCTCCCCGACTGTTGAGTCGACTAGAAGATTTGCCCGATTGTCCAGGTGTACTGCACAAAACGGCGTGCTGCACAAAACGGCGTGCTGCACAAAACGGCGTGCTGCACAAAACAGCGTGCTGCACAAAACGGCGTGCTGGCATCTGAATTCGGCGTGCTGGCATCTGAATTCGGCGTGCTGGCATCTGAATTCGGCGTGCTGGCATCTGAATTTGTGATTTGTGAGTCGAATCAAAAGTCGCCTGACTTTGCCAAGGCAAGTGATATTCTCTCAGACTTCCTCCCGTTTTCCACCTTCGCTCCCTCTTTCCCTTTTGCTTCTCCTTTTCGTGATTCTCTCTCCTCCCTGTCCTTGTCCTCTCCCTTTCCAAGTCACCGCTCTTCCTATCCCCCTCACTCCGTCTTCCTGCTCCCCACCTTCTCTCACCGAACTGTCCCCTTCCTCACCCATACCCACTCTTTGCATGTCATGCTACCCACACCTCCTTGCATCTTTTGTCCCTTAACTTATTCTCCCGTCACCAATCTCCTGCTGCCCCCCTCACCTCTATCTCCCCTCACCTCATTCTTCCTTTCACCAGTTCTCCGTCCTGTTCCCCCTGTTTTCCCCCCTCTTCCCCCCTTGCTCCCCCTGCAGATCATTCGCTTTGACCATGATCTGAGTTGTGTGCATCGACACCCAGAAAACCACCTTGCACCACTCGCCCCTTACCCACCTCATCCCCCTCGATCCCTACTGTTTCCCCCTGTTCCCCCCCCCCAATCAGATCATCCGCTTTGACCATGCCAAGTTTGTATGTAGACACCCAAACAGCCCCTCGCACCGATCCTACCTTACCCACTTCATTCCCGTCCCTCCCTACTGTGCTACTCTATCCCCCTCTCCCATCAGATCATCCGCTTTGACCATGCCAAGTTTGTATGTCGACACCCAAACAGCCCCTCGCACCGATTCTACCTTACCCACTTCATTCCCGTCCCTCCCTACTGTGCTACTCTATCCCCCTCTCCCATCAGATCATCCGCTTTGACCATGCCAAGTTTGTATGTCGACACCCAAACAGCCCCTCGCACCGATTCTACCTTACCCACTTCATTCCCGTCCCTCCCTACTGTGCTACTCTATCCCCCTCTCCCATCAGATCATCCGCTTTGACCATGCCAAGTTTGTTCGTCGACACCCGGAAAGCCCACTCGCCTCTGCAAAGAACAAATCTGTAAGTGGGACTGGGAGACTAGGGGATGACTTTGAGTCGAGTCAAGAGTCACTTAGTGGGAGTGGGAGACTAGGGAATGACTTTTGAGTCGAGTCAAGAGTCACTTAGTGGGACTGGGAGACTAGGGGGAATTCCCACATTCAAAGCACCCTCGGGACTCAACACTTGAGAAACCTCCTAGCAACCTCTCTGCAAACTATAATCAGTCTTGCAAAACAACATTTTGACAGCATTGTCTTATCATCATTCTCGCTTCCTTCCTGAACCGACTGTTCAGTAGCCTTCCGATAAACTTCTCCTTGTACTGTGATCTCTTCCCCTTCACATCCCTCCCCTTCCCCTGTCCCTATCGCCCCCACAGCTCCCGTCCTTCCGAGTACGTGGCTGGGGCGCCCCCTGCCCCACTGCCCCCCTGCCCCACTGGGTGACTTTTGAGTCGACTCAAAAGTCCCTTCCTCCCTGTCCCTATCGCCCCCACAGCTCCCGTCCTTCCGAGTACGTGACTGGGGCGCCCCCTGCCCACTGCCCCCCTGCCCCACTGGGTGACTTTTGAGTCGACTCAAAAGTCCCTTCCTCCCTCTCCCTATTGCCCCACAGCTCCCGTCCTTCCGGGTGCGAGACTGGGGCGCCCCCTGCCCCACTGCCCCCTGCCCCACTGGGTGACTTTTGAGTCGACTCAAAAGTCCCTTCCTCCCTCTCCCTATCGCCCCCACAGCTCCCGTCCTTCTGAGTACGTGACTGGGGCGCCCCCTGCCCCACTGCCCCCCTGCCCCACTGGGTGACTTTTGAGTCGACTCAAAAGTCCCTTCCTCCCTCTCCCTATCGCCCCCACAGCTCCCGTCCTTCCGAGTACGTGACTGGGGCGCCCCCTGCCCCACTGCCCCCCTGCCCCACTGGGTGACTTTTGAGTCGACTCAAAAGTCCCTTCCTCCCTCTCCCTATTGCCCCCACAGCTCCCGTCCTTCCGGGAGCGAGACTGGGGCGCCCCCTGCCCCACTGCCCCCCTGCCCCACTGGGTGACTTTTGAGTCGACTCAAAAGTCCCTTCCTCCCTCTCCCTATTGCCCCCACAGCTCCCGTCCTTCCGGGTACGTGGCTGGGGCGCCCCCTGCCCCACTGCCCCCCTGCCCCACTGGGTGACTTTTGAGTCGACTCAAAAGTCCCTTCCTCCCTCTCCCTATTGCCCCCACAGCTCCCGTCCTTCCGAGTACGTGACTGGGGCGCCCCCTGCCCCACTGCCCCCCTGCCCCACTGGGTGACTTTTGAGTCGACTCAAAAGTCCCTTCCTCCCTCTCCCTATCGCCCCCACAGCTCCCATCCTTCCGAGTGCGCGACTGGGGCCCCCTGCCCCACTGGGTGGCATTGGCCGACTGGGACTGAACCGTTATCCACATCACCACAAACACCTATCTCTACCCTCGCTTTCCCATCTCCCCTCTCTCCCCTCTGCCCCCGCTCACCCGCACAGCTCCCATCCTTCCGAGTGCGCGACTGGGGCCCTCTGCCCCGCTGGGTGGCGTTGGTCGACTTCTTCCTCGCCGCCCGGGCGCGCTACGCCTTCATCTCTGCGGGACGCTCGAGGGTCTTCACCACGTTCTCTCAGCTCGCTGCTTCCTTAGCCGCTGCCAGGAGCCTAGGTGAGCAGTCATGTCATGACAACGTGTAGACTATGCAGTGTGCCGTGTCTCAAGGGTCTTCACCACCTTCTCCCAGCTTGCTGCCTCATTGGCTGCTGCCAGGAGCCTAGGTGAGTGACCATGAGGAGTGGTAGAGTATGCAGTGAGCTGAGCTAGCATCACTGGCCGTTTTCCCAGCATGAATTGAGGCACTGCCAGGTGCCAATGAGGCGGCGAGCAGGGCAGAGGGCCCTACTCATGGGTCTTCACTTCACCAACTTCTCTCAGACGACTTCTGAGGCGCCTCAAAAGTTGAGGCACCTCAAATGTTGAGGCGCCTTCAAAGTTGATGCGCCTCAAAAGGCGAGCAGGGCACAGGGCCCTGCTCAAGGGTCTTCACCAACTTCTCTCAGCGTGCTGCGTCTTTACCCGCTGCCAGGTGTTTGGGTGTGAGACACGACGGGCTGCAGAGCAAGAGGTAAAATGTATAGCTCACTCTCTCATTTACTCTGACCCCTCCCATCTCCCGCTCCCCCTCCCCATTTTCCCATTCCCCCCTTGTCCTCCCTACCAGAGGACACCCCCTCCCCCCCTGCATTGCGCTTCCTGCTGCTAAGCGCCTTCCATTCGCACCTACTGGAAAACGGGTTGGCCAACCAGGGGGGGAGGGGCCACGCCTGGCACACCTTCTCAGGCCGCCCCTCCTGCCCCGCGCAGCCCCCCCAGTGCGCCCTCTCCCCATTTCACACAGCCTCCTTCCCTCCATCTTTCCTTGCTTCCCCTCCCCCGTCCCCCGTCCCCCGTCCCCACACCAGAGGACACCCCTTCCCCTCCTGCATCACGCTTCCTCCTGCTGAGCGCCTTCCACTCTCACCTACTGGAGAACGGTCTGGCCAACCAGGGGGGGAGGGGCAACGCCTGGCACACCTTCTCAGGCCGCCTCTCCTGCCCCGCGCAGCCCGCCCAGTGCGCCCTCTCCCCTCTTTTACACTGCCTTATTCTCACCCGCTCCCTTTCCCTGCTTCCCCTTCCCCCTCCCTCTTTCCCATCCCCTCCTCCTTTCCCTCCTTTCCCATCTACAGAAGACACACCTTCCCCACAAGCCTCACGCTTCCTCCTTCTAAGCGCCTTCCACTCGCACCTACTGGAAAACGGTTTGGCCAACCAGGGGGGGAGGGGCCACGCCTGGCACACCTTTTCCGGCCGCCTCTCCTGCCCCGCGCAGCCCCCCCAGTGCGCCCTCTCCCCCGCCCTGCCCTACGCCTGGTGGGACGCCCCCTGGCAGTCCCCTGCGCGGGGGGAAGGGGGGAAGCTGCGGCGGCTGGGGCTGCAGGTGGGGGAAGGGGGGGAGGTGGGGGGGGAGGAGGCGGTGGAGAGGTTTTGTGAGAGGCGGAGGGGGGTGGCTGTGAGGGTGAAGCTAGAGATGGGGTTGAAAGGGGGGGGAGAGGAGGAGAAAAAGGGGAAGGGGGGAAAGGGGAAGGGTGAGAAGGGGAGAAGTGGAAGGGTAAGAGGAGGGAGACTGGGGAGAATGGGGAGAAAGGGAGATTGAGAGGGGGGAGAAAGTGGAGAAGTGGAAGGTGAGGCAGAGATGATGGATAGGGGAGGAGGGAATGTAAAAGAAAGAAAGGAGAAAAGAAAGTGGAAGAGGGGGGGACGGGCTAGTAAGCCCAATAGTTCCAATCAGAGCTCCCTCATACGTGCATGATTGAGAATAGTCAATGACATGGTTTGATGACACTGGTGAATCCCAGCCACAACTGTGTATTTAGGAGAAAACAACAGAAAAAAACAAGGCAATGCTCAGATTCATAGGCACCGGGGTTGGAACCCACTCAGGGCAAGTTTCGGTATTTCCTAAATTAAGTTCACCTCTGATGGCATGGCCTGCCGAACACCCTGCACTCACAGAAAGATGGAAACCCAACAACAGTTAAGTGCATACGGTAGATCGGCAATACTGGAGGAGTTCCCAGTCATTGAGGGGGGCAAGCATTTAGGCAGTGACTAGTGCCAGACAAAATACACAAACTGATTGTGCTAGCACTCGTGTTCTTTTAATGACAGGAAAAATGCGGTGAGCGTGGATCTAACACGCGACCTTCAGATTTTCGGTCTGACGCTCTCCCAACTGAGCTATCCCCGCAAATCTGGAGAAGTGGGGTATCGATCCCCATACCTCTCGCATGCTAAGCGAGCGCTCTACCATCTGAGCTACATCCCCGTGACGGCAGCTATACAGAGAAAAGAAGAGGACTGAAAAACGTTACCCACTTTCTCCTTCACCTATCACCTTACCCACACACCGAATCAAGTGGTGGAATCACAGATTATCTGAACCTGGAGCAATAGGGCATCTAACTAGTCACAATCGCAAGCCACATGATGCAGGCAGCGTAAGGCAATGTTGCACAATCTTTCTATAGATATAGCCTAAAAGCTTGTGTTAACTATTTCATTCCCCAGCTGGAAATTCAGCTGCTCAAGCCTCCTAACTAGCATTCCGTGGAGCCTCATGTGAATACAGGTGTTCAATCCATGATGATTGAATGCGGGATCACTTCTCAAGGTCTCCCAGTTCTGCAAGTACCGCACAAGAAAAAAATTAACCCATGTTGAAGTCAAAGGGGAATTGCATGTGGTGGGATTGCGACGGGGAGATAAGGATTGCAACGGGGAGATAAGGATTGATGAGATTTGGAGGGGTGGGGAAAAGAGGGAAACGGTGGTGTGCGGGGAGACAAGACTAAACAGGCTCAGAACGGGGGGGGGGAGGGACAAGGAGCAAGGGCAGGATATCAGAATGCGGGTCGAATGAGAGGTTGGAAGAAAGAAAAGGTGCATGAAAGAGTCACTTACCTTCATCCTCCTCGTCCTCATCTTCGTCACCACCAAGCCCAGCACCTCCGAAATCAGCACCACCAAAGTCACCACCTCCAAAATCACCACCTCCAAAACCACCACCAAAGCCCCCACCACCGAATCCACCAGCACCCTGCATCTCAAAGCAGAACGAAGCATGTCAAGAAAATTCACAAGGGCAAGTGTGCAGTATGCACGCATCCAAGCCAGTTCAAAAAAAAAAATTAGACAGCATGCACAAAAAATAAACAGAATTAAAGTGCAAATTTCAAAAAAGAGCTAAAATGGACTAAAGTGCCTCACCTGGAATTGTTTCATGAAGTCAGGGTCCACTGTAAAAAACAGGAGTAACAAAGAGAGGGTGGAGATTTAAGGGTTAAAAAGGAGCAATACGGCATATGAAGTTTAAAGGGGAGTGGAGCGATATGACATACCCAAACTCAACACAACTTTGAAAAAGCGTGTGTTCAGAGCATATATAAAGCACACCAATTGCTTGGACCGACCAGCCATCCAAGCCATACGACCAATTGCTCCATCAACCATGGCCACGTGAAAGTTGATTTGCCATGCTATACCGTTGTGCCAATACACAATCACTTATTTCCCATTGTACTGTTCACCTCGTGTTCTTCCATTCTTTAACCTGATCACGATTCAACATGATTCCACTTGTACTCACATTGGTTAGCACTTGACTCCTCGTCTTCATCGACCCACTTGTTCCAGTCAACCTTGAGGAACGGCGGAGCTCGTCCTGCTGCTTTGATCAACCGCGGCCACCACTTCGCCTCCGCCTTCACCACCATGAATATCGTGTGGCGTGATGTGCTCACCACTTTGCTCTCCTGAAAACGGATCGTCAGCACGGGAAAGAAGGAAGGTCATAAACGATAATTCGTACCCAATCACAAAGACCTGGAACAATGGCCAAACGGAGTACCTTAAACATCAAGATATTAGCCAGATGACCAGTTCAGAATGCAATTAAGTGTCACTACTGAACGAATCTGATATATGATCACACACCTCGACATTGATTTTATCAAACAGCTCGAGATCGATGGCGTAGTCTTGATCTTCGGCTCCTGCTTTAGCTGAGTACGATAGCTTCCCCTCTGGATCTAGATTCGTCGTGATGTCTTTAGCGTCAGGGAGCTCGACTGTGATGAAAACGTTGTCTGACCGTTGAGCCCAGATCACCTCTGGATGGCGGCTGCACAGACCAGACGCAGGTTATCTTCAATGCGAATTACCGTAAAGTATTGAATGATAAAACCCAAATGATCATATCGATATGCACGAACAAAACCAACTAAACAAGCACGAATCTATCAATCTGTGGGAAGAGTCACAACATAGCAGCCACAATTCTCGTACCCCATGGTGGTTTTATTGAGAAAAGAACGAAACGCTCGGACGTTGGAGACCGATCTGAAGCGTCCAGGAAAACAGAAAATCAGGAGCTCTGATTAGACAATCTAGGGGAACGATGCACTTGGGAAGGTGGAGTCCGTGACAGCTGATCAGCAGGGAACTGGTGGCGTTGAAGGGATTTATTCGTCTCGCAGATCGACTGATAGCAGTAGGACGTCCTCGTGACCAAGAACCTTGAGAGAATGTTCGGGAGCCTAAAAATGATAGCTCAGGAGAGGTGATTAGAGCATGATCAGCATGGCAATCTCAAGACAAATGGGCTGAGTGCTGGTGTACAAAAGGGAGGGACGAAGGCCGAGGAGATATTTCTCGTTCTGTCCGCTCGGGTCTCCAGGTGGTTCTGGAACTTGCAGAGTCAGGGGAAGGGCGTCGCTGGAGCACAGATGCCCACTCACATGCTGCCACGTAGGAGACGAAGGAAGAGGCTTTCGGTTCGGTCTAATACGGTGGCCGCAAAAAAACAACTCTTTTTATCATTGTTACACCCATTGCATTTCGTTTCTTTCAAAAAAAGTGCGGACTCACCGCTCTGTACCGCACAAAGATAACGTCCACGGACCGCAACCAAGTTTGAAACCGTCAGGGATTGCAACGACTGGAAACACAATAACGAGGATAATCTGCTCTTCGCTTACCAGTCACTACTAAGATCCCCAACTCCTGCATCTTGATCCGCCTTTCCTCGTAATTAGTTGCTGTGAAGGACCTTCTTCAGAATCATCACAGCGAACATGGCGGTAAGTCTGTTCGCGATGTCTTGTGTAGAGGCGAGTAATGTCAAAGTCTGCTTTTTCATTGGGATTCTCATGTCTTGTTTTTTGCAGACCGTTCCAGTAAACCCTAAGCCGTTTCTAAACGATCTGACGGGGAAGCAAGTCATCGTGAAATTGAAATGGGGCATGGAGTACAAAGGTAAGTGAATGGCAAAAAAAAAAAAAAAACGTTTTTTTTTATTCCTTTTTTTCTTTTGCGTCGTTCGCATTATCTGTTTCTGTTCGTTGACCTAATTCCATCGTTTGACTCTCGCAGGCTATCTCATGTCGGTCGACGCGTACATGAACCTTCAGGTAAAACAAAAAGTGACGTCCTGCCTTTTGTAACGATAACGAGACGGTTTTATAGGATTCTCATCAGGTCATCGCAATCCTGATTAATCTCATCCGTGATCTTTCCATGTCTTACTCTGACGTTGTGTGCAGCTAGCGAGCACGGAAGAGTACATCGACGGTCAGTTCATGGGAAGCCTTGGTGAAGTGCTCATCAGGTGGGCTCCTCCCGGGTGCTTCGCTTGCTCCTTCACATCATGTTCTTCACTTCGCCGTGTGTGTGTGTGGGTGTGTGTGTGTGTGTGTTTTTTTTTTTTTTTTTTTTTTTTTCTCGCTCGTCACGTGCGACACGCCTCCTTACTGTCGTCAAGGCGTGCAGCCATCCCGCTTCGCTGCCGTCCGCTACCCTCCACTGACCTGCTTCAACGCCTTTTCATGCAGTCCGCGCGTTCCTCAATCCAACTAATTGCTCCTATTCCCTGTTCCATCCCATCCCGCCCCTCCACTGATTCGTCTCTACGGTGCGCGTGTGTTTTGACTTGACTGGATGTGCTGACTGGACGTCCTTCGAATTTTACCTTGTGACTGAATGTGCTGACTGGCTTCCCCTCCTTTCGCGTTCTGGATTGGTTTGTTTTGGCTGTGTGCATGCTACGTCTGCATGTTGTGGTGTGGTGAACCCACGAACGGGTGGGCAGATGCAACAACGTGCTGTACTTGAGAGGCGTGCCAGAGGACGATGAAATTACAGAAGCACAGGAGGAGGAAGGCTGACAGCCAGGAAGGAAACAGGCTGCTAACACGCCCAAAACTAAGGTACATCCTTCTGACTCAAGCTGTGCCCTCCTCGCCCCACCCCTCCGGACCCTACTTCCCCATCTTCCCTACTCCTCCCCATGCTATGTGCCTACCCTCTCCCATCCGCCTAGCCTCTCCCATAACCTACCCTCTCCCAATCACCTGTCCTCTTCCATATGCCTAATCACCCTGTGCGCTCCCCTCTTTATGTGATTGACCCGCACATTTCTCCTCCCCTCCCTTGTTCCCCCCCCACCCCTCCCCCCTCTCCATCACCCCCCCCCCCTGCTCACCACCCTCACATGCTATTTGGTCATCATTTCCTCCCCCTTCTCCTGAATCACCTCATTCGCTCACTTGGTTCAAAGGCCAAAATTGTCTTCGCCCCATTTATGAAATGCCCCATCTTTCCATTGCCCATTTTGCCTTGGTTCATGTTGTCATCTTTGTTAGGCACTCTGTGGTGCCTCACATCGATATCTTCTAGCCACACTTTCTCGGCAGTCAAGTATGCTGGATTCTCCCCTGCAAGGTAGACCAATATGGTAAGGCGACCATTGAAGGAGGCATGTACCGTAATAAGAATTATATATATAGCACCTGCATCTTCTGTGTTTCCTGTAGTAGCTTGTAGTCGCCATAGCAGGCAGTGTGGTTAGTAGGCTGGAAAATAGCAAGGGATGGCACGGCAGGGCGTTCTCGTTTCTACCATTTCCAACCAATGATGCACCGTTGAGTGTGCTCCTAGTCTGACCAGTTTCTGTATACCATTGTGGTTTGCAAGCTCTTCTCACTTGGCTAGGGATACAAAACAACAGGGTTGGAGACCCGTGTAACAACAATGTCTGATTGACAGAGAAACTTACCATACAACAGGTTTGGTTCAAAGCTGAAGAGTTTTTTTGCATAGAAAATTTTGCAAAGAGTTTTTGCTTCCTTGTTCTAGAAACTTACTTGTCAACATTGTACTTCCGTTGGTTTACAAGTAGGTCTTCTGGCGAGGATGACAAATGTGGCAATGTTCATGCCACGTAGTCATTTTTTCTCGGGCAGATTAGAGTGGATGAGGATTATTTTCAACGTCGATCATAGGTCATCGGACGGAATTTAGCTTACAGTCTTGGTGATGGGGCAGCGGTAAAGCAATGACACCGCGTCAACAAACCGAGTCGCTAAAGCGACGCCGCTCTCCCGTGGCGCCTTCAAGCATGGCGATGTTTATTTTACAGGACCAGCCCAATGCCGAAGATAGTTATTAATGGCCAAACATCGACTTCGCCCTAAATATTCTATGTTTGAGATGCTCGACATCAACAGATCGATTATCAATCGCCAAATTTTAGCAGGTGTACAGAATTCAAGTCTCATGAGAAATTCTTCTTGCCTGCCCATGGAATCGGCGCTGTTTTCCAACCAATCCCCAGCCCTCATCGACCACCGACGGCGCTTCGCCTGAGGCTTGATGGCGGAGGAGCATCTCTGGGCAAAAATTCGCGAATAAATTGGGGATGGAAAATCCATTCGACTCATCCACTTGTGTCGTTTCGAGCTTCACTCCCCTTCCCAAGTTCGCACCTTTCGTCCACCATGGCCCCGATGAAGTTCCTTGCTCTTCTGGTCGCGATTTCGGTCGCCCTGCTTGCACCCTCCGCTTATGCGGAGTCCAGCGCGGCCGCCACTTCAGGTGAGTACCGCATTTTCCTGCTGTGTCTTCTGTGTCGAAATTGTGCTGTTATTGAATTAATAAATTGATTAACTAATTCATCAATGAATTAATCAAAATTTCGAAATTTCTGACGCGACGCGTTTTATTATTGCACGATCCGCAGATCTCGACAAGATCGCCGCGCTCGCCGCAAGGCGTTTCTTGGGCGACGACCACCACGACCACCACGACGACGACCATCACGACCACCACGACGATCACCATGACGACCACCACGACGATCACCATGGCGACCACCACGACGATCACCACGAGAAGCCCAAGCCGAAGCTGACGTGCATGGAGAAGTACAAGATCAAGTACGCGGCGTGCGACACGAAGGAGGAGCAGTGCGTCGCCAAGGCCGAGGACGCGGACGAGAAGGAGATGTGCGAGGCGCAGTCGACCATGTGCGAGCGCAAGGCGTACAAGTCGTTCAAGAACTGCAAGTACGGCAAGTGGGGGTGCAAGGACTGGTGCCTGTACCGCCGCCGTCAGTGTCTCAAGTGGTACAAGGCGGATATGTGCGAGGAGAAGTACGAGGAGTGCGTGGAGAAGTGCATGCCCAAGCCCAAGCCGTCGCCTCCCAAGGAGGAGCACGACGACCACCACGACGACCATCACGATGACCATCACGACGACGATCACCACCACCACGACCACCACGACGACTAGGCCGTGCCGCGGCTGCTTTAGGAACGATCCCCGCCATTGCACGCCTGACGGATTCCCGTTGTGACGCTTAACTCACGGCGAGTTTCCCGAGGGTGCGATGAGCCACGACGAGCAACCCCACAAGAAGAATTTGCGGGAACCGCTTGTGATTACTCACAGTGTGACTGAGAGGGAGTAGAACTTCTCGTTCTGCTGCTTCCTTGTTCTTTTTTCTTCTTGGGTGGGTTGCGTTTTTTTTGCCTGTGCAACTGCAGGGATTGGTTTCGCCAGCTTGGCCTACGTTTTCATTGGGAAGGGTGGTAGAGGGGATGGGGGGGGTTGATCCGAGTGTATGTGTGTGGTAGTAGGGAATAATCTGTACTTTGCTGTAATGGTGATGATATATGCAACAATTCTGGGGATACATGGTTCCAACTCCTCTGGCAGCCGGCCCTCTCTCCTTGGCACCATTATCTCCACACTGGTTTTTGAGAATTCACAAAAGCCAGCTCAATTCTGGGGATACATGGTTCAACTCCTCTGGCAACCTGCCCTTTCCCTCTCCGCACCATCATCTCCCTCCACACTCCTGACCAACCCCCTCTTGACCAATTCCCAGGGTTCTTGGAACATGGGGAAGGAATGCTATCGGCAAGAGCGGAAGCTAAAGAAGGGTTTCAACTAAAGGCTGTGCTGATCAAGTTTTGTTGCCCAATGCCCATCAATCTTCTTCTTCCTTTCAAGATCCTCCCTGCTCCTTCATTGTCTCCTCCCCTCCTTCTGACAAAACTTCCTCCTCCCCATCCTCTCTCAATCACCACCCACATCCTCTTCTTCCTTTCAAGATCCCCCCTACTCCTTTCACTTACAATTCCCCCCTTCTATTCTCCTTGTCTTTCCCCCAAAACAACAGTATTGATGCGACCTTCCATATAACCAGTTTCACATGAATGTTCTCCTAACATCACCTCCTGGTCTTATCGAGTACCTCTATATGGGACTTGGAAATGCCATGCACGCCCACCAGCAAATGAGCCAGCTCTTGTATCACCTCCTGGTCTTATCGAGGACTTCTATATGGGATTTGGGAATGCCATGCACGTCCACCAGCAGCCGAGCCAGCTCATCCAACACCCCTCCCTGAATCAGCACCTCCTGCTGCCCCTTCTTACCTGCTTCATGTGCACAGATGTATGCATGGAAAGATACGGGGCAGAGAGAAGAAGAGAGCAAGGAAGGAAGTGAACATGCACGTCCACCAGCAGCTGAACCAGTTCATCCAACACCCCTCCCTGAACCAGCACCTCCTCCTGCCCCTTCTTGCCTGTTTCGTGTGATGGGCATGTGGATGGGAAAGAGAGGGCACAGTGAGAAAGAGAGGACATGGGAGGTATAGAAGATTGTTGAACATCCCTCCATGCACGTCCACCAGCAGCCAAGCCAGTTCATCCAACACCCCTCCCTGAATCAGCACCTCCTGCTGCCCTTCTTGCCTGCTTCGTGTGCATGAGTGCAAGGGTGCATGCATGGGAAGGGAGACAGAGAGGAAAAGAGAAAGCATGGGAGGGGAGGAGCAGAAGTTGGAACGGACGGAAATGAGCATTCAACACGGTTCCTCAAAACAGCACCTCGTGCTGCCCCTTCGTTCATAAATGGATGAACTGGTGCATGGATGGATGAATGCATAAAAAGCATGCATAGGTGCATGGATGGGTAAATGCATGAATGCATACATGAGTGCATGCATGGGTGCATGGATGGATGAATGCATAAAGGCATGCATCGGTGCATGGATGGGTGAATTCATGAATGCATGCACGTGTGCATGGATGCATGCGTGAATGAACGAATGAGTGGATGGGGAGGGATGAGGGCGAGAGCAGGGTTGCATGCACTTGCTGCAGCAGAACCCACCCGGTACATATCGACCGTGGCATATGCTGAAACAGAGCCAACCAGGCACATGTGAACTTGCCTGGCAATGTTTGAAGCGCCTAAAAAATCCGCGAGAACTGAGACGACTTTTGAGGAGCCTCAAAAATCACCTAGCTGGCACATATTGACCATGGCACCTGCTAGAACAGAGCCCACCTGGCACATGTGAACGTGCCTGGCAGCTTAACTAGAACCCACCTGGCACTTCAGCGACCGATGTGCTCGAAGCAAACTTCCTCTGCAGCTCAGCAGCGAGAGGCTCAGCCTCCACCAGATAAGCCTCCAGTCCCGACCCCGCTCACCTTCTGTTGCCCTGCCGCCGCTCCACCAGTATTTGCACCGGCACC